GCTTGCTTTTCAGGTGATTTTGAATGAAGCCTTGAATAAGATATTCATGAATTTATTAAAGAAAGACAATTGCTTTATTTTTTCTCCCTACAACCATTTTCATTTGGTTAGTGTGTGTGTGTGTCTATATATATCTGTCTATATATATATATATATATATATATATAATATTAATGACAAAATTGATGCGTTTTTATCTTTCAGAACTTCATTGGTCTTGAATGATATTTCTGTTGATCTAACTACACATACACACTCCATTTCCTCTTTGTTATTAATTTTCCTAACATTGTTTCTTGTATATATAATAATTTACATATCACAATATCTGCAGTAAAATTATTCTTGGAGGATGATAGGTATTATTGGTCATGTTGCTATAAATAGGTATTGTTGGTCAATTTTTCTTACATAAAAATATATTGCTGTTCAGTTTTTATACTTTCATCATGTTTTGTTTTTACTACCACACCAGGTCAGGGTGAACCTGGGAACAACAGCATGTAAGAGGTGTTTCCATGCTCTTCAAATTCTTCAGAGGCCTTGCTGTGGGATGTAGTTTATCGTCATACCCAGGACTATGTGGTACAATTTTAAACTGTCAGCTGAGATAGCAATAAAACATGCAAGAACTGAAACCAGAGTTTTAATATCAAATGTGGCTGTTTGCTTTTATTTAATTTCAATCACAGTCAGTCCTTAATGCCCAAACTCATGTTCTTATTTTATTCATTGTAAGACATCAATAGACTTAATATTTCAAGTTCACCTTGGGTATTTCTCTCTCTCTCTCTGTCTCTCTCTGCATATTTTGAATATTTGATTATGAGCGATTGTTCCTTTTTTTTTTTTTTTTTTTTTTTTTTTTAAGTAACCCCAATACCCTGAGAAATGTTGTGAAAGGGGGCAATTACTTAGCACAAGACTAGGTCATGGGAAAATCTTAATGTCATTTCAGGGCTTACAGCCATATCATGTTGAAACACCTGTTCATGTATAATGACTGAAGTTAAGCAACGTTCAGCTTGGTCAGTACCTAGATGGGTAATCATTGGGGGAATATCAGGTGCTGTAAGCTTGGATGTGTGGTTGGTGTAATGCATAACAGCTCTGAGTTGGAAATTGGAGAGCTGAGTTCCAATTTTAGTAGGGTTGGTTATATTCACTTACATACAAATGGCCTTGGGAAAGGTATGAATCCACCTATCTCCCCAGTTATGGGTTAATTAGTAGTACTTGTAGTACTAAATCATTATCTAAAAAAATATCTTACAATCTAAAAATATTTTCTGGCTTTAAATAACCTGAAAAGGGTTGATAAGCCATAGAAAATGAATCAATTTTCTTCCTTTTTGCATATTAAAGATATGCTCAATAAATGATCATAGTGAGGCACTATTTACTGATATAAATTGCATCAACTAATTATTGCTCTAACTTTATTTGAAGCCTAATTAATAAACATGTGTTGATGTTCAACCAACAACGTCAGTTTTCTGGACTTCGTAAATTCTGAGGTGGCGATAAGTAGGAAGAAGTGACCTAATTAAAATTTGTTTGAAATCTCATTACAAGATGCTTGTAGCAATGAGTATCTCCAAGCGGTCAACTGTAATAAAACTAGTGATTCAAAATCAAACAGGTACATTTAAATATCTGGGAAGTGTTTTAACAGAGGACCTTGAAATCTGAAGGACACTTTAGGATAGACAAAAGATGCATTCAAAAATCTCAGCAAAGTATTAAGAAACAGAAGAATTTTGTTAGAAACAAAGAATACGGAAATGTTATGCAATGTCTGTCCTATATGGCAGTGAATGCTGGACAATCTCCTCAAATATGAAGAAGACACTTGAAGCAACAGGAATGTAGTTCTACAGAAGAATGCTGAGGATATGATGGGCAGAATATGTGAACAACAGCAATGTTTTAGAAAAAATGGAAACAAAAAGGAAACTTATCCTTAACACCACAAGAGACAGTCGAAATTTCTATGGCACTTAATGAGGAAAGAGGGCTTGGAAAATCTGATACTTACAGGACAGATTGAAGACAAGAGAGAGAAAAATGATACCAACATATTTTGATCTTGGATGAATGGCAGAACAGTTTAGGAGAAATAACAAAAAGACAATTTATTTAGAGCTGTAAAGGACAGGAAATTGTGGAGAGTCATGATCGTCTATGTTCTGAAGAGAGACAGCACATATTTCAATGATAAGGAAAATAAGCATTTATTTTATGCAACAAACATTTTTCAGTATCCTCTCCTTTCTTGTCGATGCACTTAAGTCTATATTAAATATTTATTAAACAGATCAAATATTAAGCAGGGGAAATTCCAGATCAAATTTGTGGCTATGAACTTATTGATCTCCTCCTGTGTATTTTTAATGTTTTGTTCTGTTATATTAATATTGGCAGAAGTACTTGATAAATTTAGTTTTTCATTTTCTTGTGTTGGTGGTTGGTTAACTTTTTAGAATTCTGTTTGACTGAATTTGTAGAAAATAGAATTTTTTTGTCTGTCTTTGATGTTTGTAATTGCAATGAAATCTTAAACTATTAAGTTTAACAATTTGTAATGTCTGAAAAGTTATTTCAGTACAAAACACATTAACTTCAATTAAAGAAATAAAAAAAATATTAGTTCATCTTTTGATAACAATTTTACAAGCTTGTAATATTAGAGCATTAATTTTTTAGTTTGAAATCTTCCAATAAAAATGGCTCATTCCACCTAAGTTTCTCATTAAAGAGTTTGCTAAAGAAATAATACATATCTCTCCAAGTTTTATTGTAATTAGTGGAATAAATCTTTTATTATTCAATTCTCCTCCTCCTCTTTTGCTTGTATGATACTCATTTAGTACAACTCTCAATTTGCTAGCTAGGATGTAGCTTCACATTTTTGAAGCTGCAAGTCATCTTATCTTCCTAAGACAAATCTACTGAGGTACTCCTGTGAGGGGGGCAGGGAGGTGCATTAAAAAGTAGGAGTGATTCAGGAGAAATAAATATGTAAGTAAATACTGTTATAAGTTTCAGTGATGACACATATCTTTCAGAAGACTGTCGTTCAAAAATATTTTTTTCTTTTTCAGAAAGAATTCTTTGTAACCTAAAACCCCTTTTAGAGATTTTTCAGTTCAGTATTTGGTTCAGAGCAATCTTAGATTGTGTTTTTTTTTGTTTTTTATTATTTCACTCCAAGAAAGACAAAGTCACTGAGATGCATGAAGAAACAGATTGTGTACTGTATTTCTGTATATATCTAGATATGTCTATATCACCAAATTCTCTAAATACCACAGTGACCAGTGTATTGATATTATAGCTAGGAGACTGATCACCAAATGCTGAAACAGTACAGCTAAAGAAAGAGTTAGAATAAATTGTAGTGAGCAGTATATTGCTGATTAATTTCTGCTCATTGCTTTCGCATAACTTTGTATTGTTACATGTATGAACTTTCTGCTGGTTTTAAGTTGTCCTTAAAATTGTTGATTTTTATCCAAAAATAAATCTCTTAATTTGAAATTGACATGTTTAGCCTTTATGACTGGAAGTGGCCCTATCGATTGTCATTTCCAAGTTGGTCTTATATACAGAATGGATAAATGTTTGCTGATGTAACATGTAAGAATCAATTGTGCTGGGACAGAAATACAGACCTTTATGAAGAGAGAGAGAAAGAAAACAAACTGGTGTCCAAAGGTTGATCATTATGTGATGAGGCACACAGTTTATTCGATCTTGTATATCTTAACCACTGAGTATTGAATGAATGTAATTGGTGCTTGTTTGATAGTTCTGTTTCCAAACATTGCAACTACAAGGAAACTCTTAGGTGTGTGCAAAAATTCCCAGTGAACCCCCTCCCCACTCCTTTTCAAACCAGCAGCTGGTTTGAATCCAGAGTTTTCCTTTTCCTAGTTTGAGTAAGTCTGGTGATAAGACACATCCTTGTCTTACATTCCTTTTTATTTTTGTCTATTTACTGACAGATCGTGCCATGTATCAGAGAGATGAAAATTAAATTTTTATTATTCCATTATTCCAAAATTTTAACACATCAGCAGATAGCTATTAATGTCAGCAACTGGACCCAAATAGTTATTAATTAAAAAAAAATTAGTAATTAATGTATATTATCCATAACTACATGTACAAGAAAGTCGTTTTTGATAAAAATTAAAAATTAACCATAAGTAAAAAAAAAAAAAAGTGTATATTGTCAAAAATTACTTTTTTCACAATATAGCTATCTGTGCTATGTTTTAATGCTTATTACCAAAACAATAATAATATTGAATAATTTTTTTTTTAAGCATTAAAGTAGATTTAATCACATCTCCCTAATAGCTGTTGCGATCTGAATTTCTATCTGCATACAAGCAATTTGCTCACAGTATAAGTTCTTGATCATTCTAATATCCTTTCCAAATATATCAAGCTTCAAACAGTTCTTTGTCTAACTTTGAAATAATGTTTATAAGAACAGATACTTTTAATTTATCTATCTTCTGTGTGAAGCAGATTTTTACGCATTTGGTCATTACCTTTTAATTGAACAGAATTTGATTAAAATAAACTGATATAAAATTTATGACTTTGTTAATTCTTCTTCATAGCTTCTGCTCACTTCCCTAATGAATCTGTGTAAATATATTTTTCTTTATGCATCTTGTATTATGTACATTCTCAGCCATAATAGATTGGCTGCCTTATAATATTCAATTCATTTCCTGTGTCAGTATTACTTGAGCAATGAATACATGCAACTGGCTTCTGATGGCACTTCTAATGGCATTCATATCACTTTCTCTCATTTCCTCGAACAAGAGATAGCTTACGGCCATATCACATTGAAGCACTGGTTCTTGTACGATCACCTAAGTAATGTCAAGATTTGTTATTATATAGATGGATGATCGCTTGGGAATACCAGGTGCTGTAAGCCTTTATGTGTGGGTAGTATAGCTTACAGTGAGATCATGTTGAAACATTGGTTCCCATATGACCACCAAAGTTAAGCAACATTGAGCCTGTTCAGAACCTAGATGAGTGAAACCTTGGGAATACCAGGTGCTATAAACTTTGACATTTAGCCAATGTAATGGATAACGGCTTGGAATTTGAAATTGGATGCTAAGTTCCATTTCCAGTTGGGTTTATTATATTCACGTGTGCACAAATACACTCTTAGGAAAGGTATGAATCTCCTTCCAGCTATGGGTTAATTAGTAGGACTTGTATTCGTAAATCATTATTATCTCCAAAAAAATTCTCATAATCTAAAAATATTTTCTGATAAGCTGTTAAGATATTTTTGATAAGCCATTAAAAAAAAAAATCAAAAAAAAATCTATCATCTGCTACAAATGAGTTTATATGTTGATCTTGATATTTTTTTTTTCCCTTCTGAGCTTGAAATGAGACCAGTTGTCAACTCGTATGTCTGGTAGAAATGTTAGCCACTACTCAAGTACTTCAAGGTGCCTCAGTTTCTTAGTTACTAGATTAAAAACAAAGAAAAAAATTTGTCTGAAAATGAAATGTTTTTTCAAAATTGGCAGGGAAGGGGCTGATTTTTATTTATACTGTTTTTGGTTATTTTATACTTTTTTTTCTGGTCAGCAGTCCATTTGGAATTTTCCAGAGAATAACTTCCCACTTCCTCTTTATTTTCAGTCCAGTGGTTTAGCTGGAATGAGAAGATTTAGAATCACCTTTGGGCTGTTTCATTGATAACTTTTCAAACATTGCTCGACCTTTCCTTTTACTGGTGACTTCATGAGAAAGTGATTAATTTTTCTGTTAATCTTGTACAATATAGAAATGGACGGTATTTTCACTAGGGACTCCACAGAGAGAGTTTACGTGTAAACAAGCTATGCCATCTTGTGTATCCACACAGAAACTAATTTGCATGTTAATGTATATTTATATAATGCATAAATATTCATGCATCTGTGTGTTCACTGTTGCATGCAATTTAGTATTTTCATAGCTATGCACTGACATGAATACATATATTTCGGCTCGTATATTTTCACTTCCAGTTCAATGTTTGCATAACATCTCCATCCCAAGCTTCGACCTTTTCACATGCATTCTGTTTACCTTTTCTACATTTGCAGAATGTAGGTGATTGCTGCTGCCAACAACTAGATAGGATTTGTTGATTGCATTTAATTCAGTGTCCTTGCCAATGCTAAAAAGAGATCAGCTGACCTCACAATTCAACAAATATGATACACAACATTTTTGTTCCTTTTTATTCTCTACTCTGCTGCTTTTGTTCAATACCACTTTTTTTTTAATCTCAATTTAGTCTTTTTTTCGTAAAAGACTATATTCTTATAAAATCTTTGCAGCAAAGAAATTAAGAACTCCGCAAGAATTGGTTATTTTTAATTCAGAATAATTTGAATGAATAGTTGTTGCTTGAAACAAAGAAAACAGTGCTTATAAAATTGATACTTTAATTGTAATTTGTTTGATTAACCCCTTCCTCAGTGTAGATGTGTATATGTACCTTTACTGAAAACATCTTTTTCACACACGAACAAATAAACATTTCCAAAACATAATGTTCAAAAACCTGCTATGGATGTGTTTATACATTGATCTTGATTCTTTTTATGCCCCTCTGAACTTGAAAAGAGTCCAATTATCAACTCATATATCTGGTAGAAGTGTTAGGCACTCGGTACTTCAAGGTACCTCAGTTTCTTAGTTACTATATTAAAAACGAATAAAAAAATTTATCTGAAAATGAAATGTTTTTCCCAAAATAATTGGCACACTAATTTTTATTTATAGTTTTTTTTCTGGTCAGCAGTCCATTTGTAATTTTCCAGAGAATAACTTTTACCCTTTTCAAGGGCAAGGGCAATGATTTCTCTTATAATTATTTAATTTTCCCTGAGTGAGCTTAATATTGCTGGAAGTTTAAATATCTGGGAAGCATTTTAACAGAGGATGGAAAAATTAACAATGAAATCCAAGCACGCATTGCAATAGCAAAAGATGCCTTCCAAAAGCTAAACAAAGAACTAAGAAACAGGAAAGTTTTTTGAGAAACAAAGTGTGCTGAATTGTGATTATCTATCTATCTATCTATCTATCTATCTATCTATCTATCTATATATATATATATATATATATATATATATATATATATATATATATACACACACACATGCACACTTAAGTATGGCAGTGAATGCTGTATTGATATGTCTGTTTAATGGTATATAAACTTCTTATGGCTCATTTAATGCTGAAATTTAATTTTCTTGGGAGCTTGGACATAATAAAAATGTTATTCTGCTTTCACAATTGAGTACATGGTAGATGATGCTCAGCTTTTGTACATATACATGGGCATAATTAAACATAGCATGGGCATAATTACTAGAGGTAGGGATATGTGTTTTATGTTGTAGTTTTGTTAAAGTTGTATTACAGTTTGATTTAAAAATTGTAGGATATTATATGGTTTAATGTCATAAAAGTTCATTTATGTTGGTAATTTTTTTATGTAAAAATTAATTGATGGTATGCGTTTTGTTTTTGTTGGGGAATTCGCCATTTTCTCATAGCTGGGACCCCAACAGGTGCTACCACTCCAGGTCTGGGTGAACCCGAGTACAACAGCAGTTAAAAGGTGGTTCCATGCTCCCCAGAACCTCCAGTCTCTTGATCAGGGGCGTTGCTGAATATATTTTATTATCATAGTGAAGACTGCGTGAATGTTAGACAGATGAAGAGAAAACTGGAGGCAACAGAAATGTTTCTACAGAAGGATGTTGAGAATACCATGGATGGAGCATGTCAGCAACAAAGAATTCATAATGAAAATGGAAACAATAAGGACACTTATAATCAGAGACAGCTGAAAATTCTTGAGCACAGAAATGAGGAAGGAGAGTGTGAAGAATTTGACACTCATGATATATATATCTAAGGAAAAACTAACAGAAGACTCATGGATCAAAGAGAGCATTTAGTGTGCTGTCTCTGCAGAAAGACATCACGTGACTGCCTTGCCCGAACAGAGCTGGTGCAACCCTGGAACATCCAATTATGAAGAAATATGTCAAATAGCTTCCCCATGAGATAGTTAGGATGGTGAGCTGAGCAGTGTTCGCTATGCAAATGATTCCTTTGCTAGCCAACTACTAAAGTTTTAGGCTCCATGAAAGCAGGCACATTTTCTTGGAAGAAGCAGTGGCTAGCAGTGTGACTTGCTGACCACTAAGAGTTCAAATAGGTCACTTGATAAGACACCAGCAGTGTTGAAACAAAATTCCAACTTTTATAGTATGTATATGTTATAAGTGTGAATAAATATTATTAGCTCTACTTGATATTGAGCACTCTTATAAGAATAGTGTTTTTGATTATTTGAATTTTATTCTATGTGTAACAACCCTGTACTTGTGTATGTATGTATGTACGTGTGTGTGTGTGTTATATATATAGTTTATGAAAAACTAGGTAATCCATATGGGTAAATCCAAGGAGGATAAAATCCAGAGAGTTCACTGTAAATCCAGAGCAAATAATTTAATTTGTCTCTTTTTATATATATATATATATATATATATATATATAAAACAATAACACATTTCTAAAAACATATTTCTGATTACATCTATTTTTTCGTTGTCCTGTTATTACTGGGAAGTAAAAAACAAAAACAAATCTATTTCCATACCTGATGATGTCTGTATGCACAGATGAAAGCTTGTAAAAAAATAAAAAAAGACCTTATGCAACTGGAATTTATAAACAGGGATCATAACATTCATTTACAGGTTTGGGGTTAATGTACATTATTAAATTTGTTTGCAAAGATGTATTATCGCCATTTATATCATTAACTTCTATATCTGTTTTTTGTATGAATGATTCATGTAATATATATATATATATATATATTTCAATGAGAGGGAGAGTAAACTCATTTAGCCATGCTTTTTACTGACTTTTGGTTAGTATGAATAAAATCCAAGGTCAATCTGATATAATTTTTGTATTTTCAGTTTTCCATATAAAAAATGAAAAGAAAAAAAATATGTTGTAGTTTCCCTGGAATTTTCCATTCGCCTGAGGCAACTGCAAATATCGTATATTGATATAGATATATTTATCAGGTGTGATTATGTACCTGCTTATCTATAAATTCATAGGTACAAGACGAGTAGTGTTCTATACCATACCTATGAACACTAATAGGTATGTCCCAATCCTCATAAATATGTTGGACATGGGGATAATATGCTGTCTAAGTAGTCCACCACTAGTAGTGGTTTACCTACTTCATGCTGCTGGCGAGTATTGTATTTTGTTGATGTTATAAAGAATACCATTTCATTTCCAACCTCCGTTCTGGTTATTCCTCATTGAGTAACCTTTTCTAGGTTACAACAGTAGGTAAGTTTCATAAAGTGTTCGTTTAGTTTAAACCCTTTTGAAATTTCTTTGTTGTCGTAAATTTTCTATTTAAATTTGAGTCCTTCATTTTTAGTTCAGTTTTTATTTAAATATGGTGTGCAGGTTGTGGGTTTATTGGCATAGGATTGGTGAGCTGAGATCAAATTCTGACCAAGTCTGTTATATTCATTTTACACATTAATGTCCTTGGAAAAGGCATGAATCAATCTCTTCTTCCCCTAGTATTAGGTTATATAACAGGGAAGACTGTTTAGTTTTGGTTGAAAAAAGACAATTCTAAATTCCAAACATAGAGAGGAAAATGGTAAACCACTTGATTAACTTGCATAAAAATTCATAGCAATTCAGATATTAAAGAAAAGGAAGCTGTGGATAACTGTCCTGAAGTGACTTCTTCTTGTCTGTGTCATGTCTCTCCACAATTTCCTGTCCTTTGCAGCTCTTAGTAAATTTTGTATTTTGCTATCTCTCCTAAACACTGTTCTGCCATCCATTTACACATACATGTTAAGTAGATTACATACGTTTTTTTTCTGTTCTTCTTGTCTTCAGTATGTCCTGTGAGTTTCAAATTCTGTAAGCCCTCTTTCCTCATTATGTTCACTAGAAATTTAAACTCTCTTTCT